TTTTTTTAATGTATTTGGTATAGGGTCTCACTATGTAGCTCGGACTCATAGGGTTCCTCCTGTTTTAAGCCTCCTCAGCTCTGGGATTACAGGTGTGTGCCACCACACCTGGTCTTAGTGGCTGGCTCAGTGTACCCAGGGGGGTGGGGCTGGGGTGCCAGCACAGCACGTGATACTGGTGATGGAAGCCCAGTCCTTGAGCTTGCCTAAGCAGGCACTTAGTTCACTGAGCTATCGTACAGGACCTTAATTTTAATTTTTGACATAGGGTCTCAAGGGCTAGCCAAGTAGGCGCAGGGGCCGGGGAGTTCTATCCCCGGGCCTGCCATGCTGGCCCTGCCCTCAGGGGTGTGCTGAGATGGCAAATGAAACTGAGCATGGTGGCATGTGCCTATAATCCCAGCTCTTGGGAGCCTGTAAACAGGCAGATCACTACGAGTTGGATCTAGAAGCGAGACCCTGAACACCCCATAGCTCCTTCCCTAAAATACAAAACAAACAAACAAACAAAAAAACCCCAAAAACAAAAAAACCCCAAACAAAACAAAACATAGGGTCTCACTATGTAGTTAAGGCTGGCCTCAAATGCACTGCAGCCCTCCTGCCTCGGCCTCCCAGAGGGCTGGAATTACAGATTTGCACCACCGTTCCTGGCTGGGCTTTAATTTTCTTGTGTGTAACATGTAATAATTATCCTGACTTACAGACACTGAGCCATACCTGCTACCTGGTAAGTGTCATGTGTTGGTGACACATGCATGCACACACAACCATACATGAGTAAGCATTCAGCTGAAAATATGAATCCATCACTCATCATCCAGCTGGGAACTGGGCACAGTAGTGGATGACATAGGGTCTCTTCTGTCCCCCCTGCACGCAGCAGAGACAGGCTTAGCAGCAAAGCGTGTTGGGAAGCAGTTCTGGATACACTGTCCTTCTGGATGTGCAGAGCCTATCTTTTGGGGGTTGTACTAGACCTGCTTTGGGGGTTGCCTAGCTCCCCATCCCTACTCACTTCCCCACCTGCCCCACTGTCCCTGTGTCCTGGGAGAAGCCTGTTCAATTCTCCTAGGGTTCATCCCTGCCCTCTGGCATCCTTGCTGTGGGCTGCCTCCCCCTCCTCTCTTTCTGTCTTGACTCTTCTTTTTGTGGGGGTGGGGTGAGTGGGGGGGGTGGTAGTACCAAATTCAGGACCTTGCACTTGCCAGGAAGATGCTTTTCCCACTGAGATATCTCCCCTGCCCCCTTGACTCTGTTTTGTTTCTGTCCTCTTCTGCTCCCTGGCCCTGGCCCTTCTGGTCTTTTCAATAGGTCAAAGACCCTCTCCCCCCCTTCCCCGAACTGGGGATTAAACTCAGGCCTTTGCACTTTCCAGGGAAGTGCTTATTCCACTGAGTCATCTCCCGGCCTCCTAGAGACCCTCTTGCTAGAGCGCCTCTATTCTGCAGGGACACCCAGAGCACTGACCTCTGCTCCATGCCCTTCCCTGAGCCCTGGCCAGGCCCTTGTGTCAGCTCTGGTCAGGTCAGGTCTCCGCCTTCCTTTACTCTCCACGCCTCTGTTTACCTGGCCATGTGCCCAGCATGAGGACTACAACCACAGTGGCTGCTGGTCCTAGCCTTTGAGGTGCTCTTCTCAGGCCTGTTCTAGAGGGAGGCACCCCTCCTCCCCAGAGCTCTTCCATGCCAATTTGGGGCTCTGTGACAAGGATTGCTCTGGAGTCCTGAGCACCACGCTTTTCACTTTCAATCAGTGCCAGCCTCACCTCCCAAATCCCCCTTCTCTCCACCCACCCTTCCTGACTTCTAGAAGCCTTGTCTCCTCTCCACAGGACAACACAGATGGCCTCCTTGGGGCCTCTCTGCCTCCATTCAACCCCCACTGGCTGTCACAGGGCTCAGCTCCAAGGTCCGCCATAGCTGGGCATGATGCCACATTCCTGTAGTCCCAGTACTTGGGAGGCTGAGGCAGGAGAATCACTGTGAGTTCAAGGCCAGTCTGGGCTACATAGCGAGCTCAAAACCAACCTGAACTAGATAGAAAAACACTATCATTCCCCAAACAAAAAAAGTCCTCCACAGCATGGCCTTTCCTACTGAAAACCCTGGGTACTGTCCTTTTCCCATGTGAGATCTAGGTTCCTATGGAGGCCTTGAGGCCTGCAGGAGCTATTAGGGGATCCCTGGACTGGTGTCTTGTTATGTCTAGTGGCCCTGACTCAAAGCAACCCTGTGTCTCCAGCCTTGCTGCTCAGCTCCTCTTTACTGTCACCATCTCTCTTGATTTGCCTTAAGCAGCCTTTCCTGGGAAGTACCCCATCCAGGGGTCCAGTCCCCCATGGTGGCTCTCCTTTGGCAATTGGCATGGAGCACTAGGCCAGGCAGGAAGGGGTCAACTTCACCAGCCAGGCATATACCGGGAGACATCAGCCCATGTTGGGTGTACTTAGGAAGGACTGGGAGTGGGGCAGGCAGGGACATGTCCTCAGTGCAGGGGTAGAGAACTGCAGGGACTTGTACAAGCCCATTAGCAGTGGAAAACCCACAGGCTGTGTTCTGTGGACAGCCTGGTCCTTGGGCCCCCTTTTGTCCTGTCTTGGCCCAGGCCTACTGGGACTTTGTCTGACACCCAGTCTCCCCAGGGAGCCTCTGCTCTTCACTTCTGCTTTCACAGCTTCTTTGGGTCCTGCCTCTGGGGGCTCCTTCCCTGCTTGTGCTCTGGGGCTGTGCTAGCCTGGGGTCTTCTGCCAACAGTCATGTTGATCCCACCCCCCGGCTGCACATGGCAGCTGGCTGAGTCTGAGGAAATCTTCCCTAGATGCCCAGGCCCCAAGCTCCAGGCCAAGATTCCTGTGACCTGCCTTTTGGCCCTGGTTATTGGGGTGCTCCTGCTGCCTTCCCAAGAAGGGCAGCTCCTACCAGGCAGGGCAGGATGATAAGTCCCCATGTCCCTGGCCCTTCATCTCACTGCCATGACTGAGACCGCAGGCTGCTCTGCTGTAACTTCCTGTGGGGGTAGGGCCTTCCCACCCAGATGGGGCCTGTCACCAGCCTGCTCAGAGCTTCCCCAGGGAGGAAGTGTGGAGCAGGGCCCAGGTCACCAGGAGCCCCTAGCCCTCCCTCAGGCCCCTGAAACAAATGTTTGGCTTCTCCCCAGGAAAGCCCTCTCCTGCCCTAAGAAGTGAGTCAATGGAGGCTGGGTGTAGCGGTGGGCATCTGTCATCCTAGTACTCTGGGAGGTTGAGGGAGGAGGATTGAAAGTTGGGGCCCAGCTTGAGCAATTTAGCCACTTAGTGAAACCTTATCTCAATTTAATTAAGAAAAAGGATGGGAATGTAGCTCAGAGTCAAGGCCTTGGGTTCAATCTCCAGTACTACCGCCCACCCCAAAACACAAAATGGATGAGTGAAGGACTGTGGCCATCTGCCTGAGGGGACCTGGCAGAAGCAGCTGGAGTGGGAGGAAGGGAGGCAGTGTGATGGGAAGGAGGGGGAAGGAGGGGAAATGTCTTTTTTGGAACTACATGATTAAGAGATGCCTGAGTCACTGTGACATGGTTATCGCAAGCTAGACAGCAGGGGTGGCCCGGAAGCACCAAGGGACAACTGTGGCGGCCGCCTGGGTGCTGTGCTGCGGAGATGGGGCGGTGGGGCACTCACTGATCTCCTCCACAATCTTCAGGAGTACACCGCCAATGTGTGACTCTCCGGTGACTCGGAGGGTGACCGACTCAGCCTCGGGGTCTTCCTCACCCACAAATACTCGCAGCTCCCAGGACGAGTCAATGTAGTCCCCTGTGGCTGTCTTCATCCCTGCCATGGCTGTGGCTGCTTCTGCCAGGAGGGTTAGAGAGGTCAGGTGGGCAGCCCCATGGTGCTCCAGATAGCTGATGGGCAAGGAGCAAGCCAGAGGCCAGCATGGCCAGGCAGTAGCAAAACGCAGGATGCCAGGGTGATCCTCTCTCTGTCATGGTACTTGAGCTGAAGGGAGCCTGAAACCACGTTGTCCAGCCCATTCCCATCCTACGGACAGGAAGACTGAGGCAGGGTAAGAAAAGGCTCACTCAAGAGTACCCTGCTCGGTGGAGGGCTGGGCCCCAGCCCACACTGCTCTCCCACCTCAGCCCCAGACCCTCACTGGGAGGGTAGACCCAGCTACTACCCAAGCACCCAAGCCGACTGGAGATTTTCAGCAGTGGAAGGCGCCAGCTGCTGCGTGGCTTGTGGCTCGGCAAGAGGGAGGCTGAGCAGAGCTGTGGGGCAGGGAGGAGGAGGACCCTCAGCCCAGAGCCACAGGCTGGAGCTTACCTGGCCTGCCAAGGGCTGGACCTGGGGGTGGCCTCAGGCTGTGCACCTGCAGAACTTCCTTGCCTCTGCTTTCTCTTTGGAGCTTCCCTCAGAGGGCAGCCCTCATTGCCTTATCGGCGAGTTGGCCCCTCCCCAGGGCGGGCACTGGGTGCAGGAAGCACACTGCCAGCAAGCAAACGGCTCTCCAGTGGGGCCCTGCCTTTGTCCCCAGTGAGCATAGGATGCCAGAGTAGGACTTGTGGATACTACAGACCCAGCCCCTCCTCAGTTTCATGTGAGGAGCTGCCATTGGTACATAGGACAGCCTGCCAGCATAGGACCACTTCTTCAGCCCCTGGGTGATGTACTGGCATGGACTGAACGGATGGATCCAGGCCCTTTAGGACCTTGGCAGGTCAATCTGGCCTAAACTCCACTGCTCCTAACCAATAATATATATATATATTTTTTTTGTGGAACCAGAGATTGAACTCAGGACCTTGTGCTTGTCAGGGAAGCACTTATTCCACTGAGCCATCTCCCTTGCCCCCCTAACCAATAATACTTGAAGGCCCCAGAGCACCAAGGTGCTTTCATTCTTCCTGCCCTCCAACAGGGTTTCCAGTATCCATCTTGCTGCTGCCCAGGTATTCAGAGGTCTTCCCCCCACTTCATAGCCCTCCCTGACCCACTGACCTCGGCCCCAAGTGTGACATTTCTACTCAGCTGCTACCTATCATCCAAGACCACTCCTGCTCAGATGTCACCCTCTGGCGCCCCTCTGGTGGCTGACATCCCCCTGCTCATCTTTGTTCTGGGACCTATGCTTCCACAGAGCAATGCTAAGCACTCAGCCTTTGAGTGGACTGGGAAGAAGTAGGAGCCCAGACAGCAGCAGATGCCACTGTGGGTGGGGCTATTTGAACTGTGCCACCCACATGGGGCAGGCCTTCGGGGATTCCCAGGGGAAAAGCTGGCTTATGCAAACCCAGAGGTGCAGAGTACAGCCTACTGCTTGCCTCAGCGCCTTGTCTGCCCAGAAAGCAGTACTCTTGGTACAAATGAGGAAGTTTAATTGCTGCCCAAAAGCCTCTCAGCCCAGGAAGAGGGCTTTAGGAAACACTGCTGAGTGTAAGTAGAGTTTAGCTCCGTCAGCTACGACTGACAGTGGAGTTCTAGATCCCACCCAGACTCCACCTAACAGGAAGCAAGTCTCTATGTCAAGAGCTGATCTCACAATTCATTTTAATTTTTGGTTGCATTCAGTATTCTCTAGATATAGCTGATTTCTTATTTTGAGATTGAAATGTGGACAGCTAACAGTATGGGGACCAAAGTTGATCTGATGCCATTTGGTCAAGGGGTGTTTTCAGGAGGGTCCCCATCTGCTGAGTAAGAGCACCACCTAGTGTTCACCTTTGGTAGAGCCCTGAAACCCAGCAACATTTATACCCATTCCAATGACCCCATCCCACTTGGGTTCCATACATCTCCCACCCAGTCCAGTGAACCCCAACGGTCAGTCTTTGGAGGAAAAAAAGAAATCACTCAAAGGCCACAAAAACATGTAACCACGTCCAACTGGCTTGTTTTATTGGAGGTGGGGACGTGGCAATAACAATATGAAGACAGCTGGGACCGCAGGTTGGGAAGAAGACCCTTCCCTCCCCATATTGCCCACTGTCCCAAATAAAAAATAACCAACTATGGGGGAGCAGCTGAGACAGACCAGGGCATGGGGGAAGGAGACACAAAACTCGAGGGCAGCAGTGAGGAGACCATGCGTGTGCTGGGAGGCCCGTGGCGGCGGCTGTTTGAGTCTGTGTCTTCCAGGTAGGCATGTATAAATATAAAGATAAGCTCTTCTTTCTCCCCTCTCCCTCTGCTGTGCTGCTCGCCGCCATCCCAGCGTCTTTCCACATGGGAGGGCGAAGGGAAGAGGTGAGCAAGTCATCACCGAATTGCGATCAGACCCACATCCATCAGCTTCTGGATCTTTTGCGCTATTACAGGGTTCTTTAAGTGTCTGAAGAGGAAAAGGTGAAGTGAGCTGAAACGAACCCCAGAAAGGCTTCCCTGCTTTCAACAAGCTCCAATTCAAACCCTGCACAGCCAAAGTCAGGATATAGAAAAGGTCTGCTGAAGCTGGCCAGGCAGACCTGGCAAAGTCTTCTCTGCTATGCAAAACCCATCAGGCCTACTGTGTACAAGCCTCAAAACCCTTTCCTGAAAAACTGGCCCTTCCAGCTGACTGCCTAAGCTGCGAACTGAAAACCACCCACTGCCCCTGCCCCCACAGTATGGGAGGGGATTCAAACAAAGGCCTTTCTTTTTTTTTTGAGATAGGGTCTCACAAGTAGTTCAGGCTGGCCTTAAAGCACTCCTCCTCTCTCAGCCTCCTCAGTGCTGGAATTACAGATATGTACTACCATGTCCAGCTCCCCAGCATTTTTATTTTTTTTATTTTTTATTTTTAACATTTATTGTGTGTGTGTGGCCAGCTCAGCCCACCAGGGGGCGCAGCTGGCTGGCATGTGGTGCTGGGGGATCGAACCGTGGTCCCTGTACTTTGCCAAGCTTGTTCTAAGTAGGTGCTTTAGACCACTGAGCCATCTCTCCAGCCCCTCCCCAGCATTTTTAGAAAGATGGTCTTGTTAAGTCACTAAATTACCCATGCTGGGCTTGAATTTATAATCTTCCTGCCTCAGCCTTCCACAGTACTGGGATCCCAGGTTGTGCTACTACACTTGGCTCTGTCTTTCCAGTTTTAAGAAAGATTACACAACCTTCCTAGGTAGATCATGCCCCGCTAACTCTGCAAGGCCATCTCCTGAACTTCGCTTACTCGCTGAGTGCCTGGGGGTCCTTCTGCATCTGCTCCAGGATGAGCCGCATGGCTGGGTCACTCATTATCTGCTGCACCTCAGGGTCAGCCATGGCCCGTCGCTTCACATCCTCAGGGTTGTCGTGCCTGTTGTACTGAGCCATCATACAGCGCTGGTAGCCGTCAGCAGCCTCCTGTATTCCAAAAGGAAAGGGTGACATCACACGGCTCACTTCTCTACCAAGTTCACAACAACAAAGCCAGTGATAAGGAGACAGGAGAACAATACACCACCTACAGAAAAAACAGGCAGAGGTAGCCCATGAGGGCAGCTGAGCCCACCTTACAGCCGGTGTCCAGGTCCAGGGCCTTCTGGTACACATCCATGGCCTTTGTGTAGTCCTTCATGGCCTCCAGCGCAGCGGCTTTCCGGGTGTAACCCTTGACTACAGACAAATAGGGGGTGAGGTGCCAGCCGAGTACTCCCGAGTCCCATGAGCTTTCTCCAGCAGACTCCCTTGGTGTCTGATGATCTAGGCGCTACAGGGTACGGCCTTATCCTTTTATTTATTCATTTTTTAAATCTCAACAGAGTAGGGAGAGGCAGGGAAAGGCACTTACTGAAGGTCGGCTCCAGCTGGATGCACTCTTCACAGTCCTAGGGAGAAGCAACAGAAAGATATTAGGCTCTCCTTAGCAGAATGTAGCTGAACTGCTCAATCCTGACCTCAGATGGGCCAGAGGCTTTAGTTTTTGCCTCTGCTGCTCCTCCCAGTGCTGGCCCTGGGTCAAGCAGGACAACAGCGTGAGAAAGCTGGGTTTCGGCCTAGGAAAGACAACTCCAGAGAGATCACTGTCCCACTGAGTATCAGCATCTTCCTGAGGCTGATATTATGACAAACAGAAAAGGTGGTGACACTTCTCGTTTTGACAGAAAGAGAATATGCCAACCAAGTAAAATATACCAGCCTAGATACTTGCTCAAAAATTGGACATAGGGCCTGGTGAGATAGCTTGGTGGTCTTCTAAGTGCCTGCCTAGCAAGCACAAATTCTTGTGCATGCCATGCTGGCCACCAAAACCAGGTGTGGTGGTGTACCTGTAATCCCAGCACTCAGGAGGCTGAGACAGGAGGATCACTACAAGTCTGAACTATATAGCAGACCCTGTATCAAACATATCAGCCTTCTAAATGGTAAAGATTACAGGCGTGTACCACCATATCTGGCTGTATTAATTTTGAGATCAGAAGAGTCTCACTATGTTGCCCAGGCTCGTCTCAAGTAATCCTGCCATCTGTAGACACGTCACTGCACTTGCCCTAATTCTCTTTCACAAATGTTTCAAAAAAGCATCAATATTTTTTCTAACAGAGGTAGAGGATATATAAGATATTAGCTGTGTACTGTTTGGAACAGGTTATAAATAAAAAATAAGGGCCGGTCAGATAAATCAGTGGATTAAAGCATCTGTTTAAGCAGACGCAGAGGCCAGGGGTCCAATCCCAGGTGTGCTGGTGCTGGCCCCTCCTGCCAGCCCTGTCCAGGGAACACACTGAAATGTCATTATTGAGACTGGATGTGGTGGCGCATGCCTGTAATCCCAGCAGTTGGGAGACTGAAAAACAGGAGGATCACTACAAATCCGATCTGTGCAGTGAGACCCTGTACTAAATACATAATAAAAAAAAAAGTATGCCATCTGAGCAACAACTTTGAAGACAACAATGTGCAACATAACAACCATTGCTGAATTTTTTTTTTTTTAGAAAATATGCCTTTAATATTTTATCTTTTCGTTGCATTTATAACATAATTCACTTCAATGATCACGCTGAATTCTTATCATCTTGTATTTTTTTTAAATTTATTTGTGTGTGTGTGGCCAGCTCACCCCACCAGGGGGTGGGGCCGGCTGGCATGTGGTGCTGGGGGATTGAACCATGGTCCCTGTGCTTTGCTAAGCTTGTTCCAAGTAGGTGCTTCAGACCACTGAGCCATCTCACCAGCCCCTCATCTTGTATTTTGAAATTCTGTATTGTTTCTAACATTTTAGCTATTTTTCAAATTCTTTTAAAAATAGAGATAAGTGGGCTGGAGAGATGGCTCAGTGGTCTAAAGCACCTACTTGAAACAAGCTTGGCAAAGCACAGGGACCGCGGTTCGATCCCCAGCACCACATGCCAGCCA